ATAATTACAATAGGCCCTCAGAGTTGTGTTTTATATTTCTAGTTTTAGATACAAGAGTGGTACATTTCTACAAATAGGATGATCACACTCAGTAGATTATGAGCTTTGTAATGATACCTTACAAGAGACCTTTTGCATGAAGCATATCCCAGTTACATTATATTCACTTATATTTTTATAAAACCATATAGACTGCACAACGTCACACTGACCTAAAATAATATCTGTTTGAATTACAGCATTTATTTTAGAAAAATATCCAATCTTGATATAAAAATTGTTAATGATGGAGAATCTGCCACAACCCCTGGAAAGTTATTCCAATGGTTAATTACCCTCACTGTTAAAAATGTATATTTTATTTCCCATCTGAATTTGTCTAGCTTCCACTTCCAGCCACTGGATTGTGGTACACCAGTGGTGGGCAACCAGCGGCCCACGGGCCACATGCAGCCCATCAGGGTAATCTTATTGAGGGCTGCGAGACATTTTGCTGACATTGACCATCCGCAGGCACGGCACTCCATGCAGCTCCCATTGGCCGTGGTTCACTGTTCCCAGCCAATGGGAGCTGTGGGAAGTGGCAGCCAGTACATCCCTGCGGGCCGCAGGTTGCCCACCACTGTCTAACACCTTTTGCTGCTAGACTGAAGAGCCCATTATCACATACTTGTTCCCCAGGTGTCACATACTTGTTTCCCAGGTTGGCCCTTATAAACTGTGACCAAGACACACCTTAACCTTTTCTTTGTTAAACTAAATAGACTGAGTTTCCTGAAACTATCACTATAAGACATGTTTTCTAATCTTTAATCATTCTCATGGCTCTTGGGAACCCTTTCAAAAAAATTGGAATAAATCTGAACTGTTTTGGTTAGATTTTGACCTTTCTGGATTTTTTTTTTATATAAAAGAAAGTGGAATTTCAAAATGAAAAATTGTTTTAAAATGAAAAATCGGAATGTTTCATTCTGAAAATGTCAACATGGGACATTTCAATATTTAAAAAAAAAATCTATTTTTTTTTTCAAATATTTTTTTTCCATAATCTATATGATTTTGTGAAAAGAATTTGGTTTGATCCAAACAGAATTTTCTGACAGAAAACTGTTAGGACAAGCCAGGCTACTAAGCTGCCCTTCAGGCCCCCTCAAAAATCTATTGATCTTCTCCCTGGACACCAGCTCCCACTCACTGCCTTCCCATGCTAGAGGATAGGGCTGGCAACTGTGATTGAAGCTATTCCAGATTTCCCCCCCAATATTACATAATGTCATTTTCTTAAAATATCCTATTAAAATCTCCTGGATTGCTTTCAATAGTCAACGGGAGATCAATTCCAATTCCAGGAGACTCCAGGCCAATCCCAGAAGGTTGGCAATCCTACTGGAGGAGTGATGCATCCCTAGGGATCCGCCCTGCATTTGATGTGAGAGTGGGGGAATTCCTTTAGGCTTCATGGAGGGATAGCTTCACTCCAGACCAAGACAACTCCTGGAACCTGGAGGGAAAAAGCAGAGAAGAAACAGTTCAGCTGTGAAAGAGGCACCCAGCTGAACAAAAAAAGAAAATAAAAATATAATAAAACCAGCTGATGAAAGTGACTGAAGCGATGACCGACAACAGTCAAGCTTATCTTCATGAGTGCAGCTATCCGTAGTGTTGGTGCTTTGTACAGGACACCCTGGGCCTTCACACTTAGAGTCCATCTGGCAGTGTGTGTGGCCATACCTGCTGGCCTTCTGTCCTGGCCTCCATTTACAGCTGAGTGAAGGCACCAACCTCACTACCCACAACATGTAGGTGGCTCTGTGTGTAGGGTAGAATCATTCAAAGCAGTAATTAGAACCAACCAGAAAAGGAAACAGGTGCAGATTTACATCTGCACCAGGGGAACTATGCTGAGATTCATGGGATAGGAGGAACATTCCATTGACACTGCAATGTCCGGGAGTGCTATGTGTGCTAGAGGTAGTGCACTATCTGTATCTGAAACAGCACTTCACTGTTGCACCTTACACCAATTCAGTCATATCAGTGTGCGTTGCAATGCTATGAATCTGCAGGGTAGGCAAGGAAAGTGAGGCCAAGTAATTGCCCCAGGATATTCAACAAATGTATAGCAGGTTAGCAATATAATTCAGACCTCCTGATCTTCAGTCATGAATTTCCACCACTACACCAAGCTTCTTTTCTTCCTGCCACACAAGAAATAGAGCTGTACCTTTAGGTACTTATCCCAAAGCCTTGATGACACTGCAAAGCGCCTGAATGTCACTCATGATTACCCGGATATCATTAAACCCTGTTCCTGAATGTGCTGTAGCTAATTACCTGTGTATGTTCTGATGGATAGGGCACTGGGCTAGGACCCAGGAGACCTTTAGTGCTTGGCTCTGTCACTGACTTCCTGTATCACCTTAAACAAGTCATTTCACCTCTCTTTGTCTCTGTTTTACTTCCCAGCCTTTGTCCATTTAGACTATACATTCTTGGGGGAAGGAACCATATCAGTCTGTGTTTGTGTAGAGCAGTGGGAACCCAGTTCCAAAGATACGGTAATGTTAGTAATAAATAGTAATCTGCATGGGGAGGATGCTTTAGGTGTTAGGTTTCAGATTAGGAGATTTGTCAGACTTAGATTATGGTTCCCTTTCTATACACCTCCCTCTGCTGTTAGAATAAAATTAATCATCTTGTATATTTTGGCTCAGAACTGGTAGCTATCACATATAATTAACTGTTCATAATTTTCATATCATATGGAAAATGCCTATAGAGACAAAAAAGCCCTCAAACATTAGAACAGAAAGGTAGCAAAGCTGTCAATCCATTTGTTCTCCTTTTCTCCAACTGTCTACATTATCTTTAACCATTTCAAGAAATCTTTTATGTTTTTATAAACCATAGTCCCAGACTGAAGGAGTAAAAGAAAATTTCACAAAATATCCTATCAGTAGAGCTGCCTTCTGGTTTTGGAAACAGGATTCAAATAATTTAAAGCATTTTGGAGGATATGTAATCTTATTTACATCCAATTAGGGATCAGGGCCCCCAGCACATTAAGAAAATGAACAAACATGTAATAAAAAGACAGTCCTTGCCCCCAAAGATTTTAAAATCTTGGTTTATAACATGACTCAAAAGGGAGATAAAACAAACAGGAGAGCAGAGCAAGGACAGGGTAACAGTGAAATGAGCTACTTTTGCATGGTGAGCAGTAGTCATAGAACCCCATCTGGCTAAATCAGATGATACAACACATTTTAGATCAGCATATTGTGGCCTCAAAGCTATTTCAACAGGCCAGGGGGGAATCACCCCAGTGCAAGAGTCCTATATAGCCAATCCAGGGACTCTTATCCAGCATAGCAGGGAAAGTGGGGTGTGACCTGGATAACCATATGCCATGCTTATCCCTGTCTCCATTTTCAGCCCTCTATGGTAAGTTAGAGCAGTACGTAAGCTACTCTAATACAATGCATGGAGCCCAGCCCTGCACAGAGCACACAAGAATCAAGGGAGTGAAAGATGTGCCTCTGCTAACCACCTGATCAACATTCAGTAAAGATCTGCTGGACACCATGATCTGGCCCATTATTTCCTCAAGAGAGGTAGTATCGGCATTATGGGATAAGACAATGTAGCCCACCAAGAATGTTAGAAATTCAGTTCTTTGCCTTTTCAGTCCTCTGAGTGACTATTTACCATGAGGTTGTCAAATGGAAACACAAGGCCCTGATTCTGCAATGGGCTCTGCAGATGCAGACACTTACTCCCCCGCATATACATACCCACAACCATATGTGCAAAGGGGTGTCTACACTAACCTTTCCCCACTAAAACTCAGCACCTTTCCTACCATTGCTGCATCTCCATTTGTAGTAGCAATAGTGGGAGCCCTAGTGTAGACCAGCTGTGTTCCACCCCCCCCCCTCCCAGTTCAGGACAGAACTGAGGCCAGCATAAGATGCTGACATTTCCTGGCATCTCATCACACTAGCTCTTTCACTGTTGCTACTATCAGTTGAGCTGGTAGCAACTGAGGAAAATGTAGTGTAGTGTATGAAAGACCAGTGGACTACTAGCATGGGAAAGGTTTTACAGGATCTGGCCAAGATAGCATGCATACCTTTCACTATCATAGAATTATACAGTAGCTGGTATCATACCTCTGACATTTAGTTTTAAGCCTTTGGTTGAGTTTTAAATTCCTCTTTGGCTATATTACATGCAAAACATCTAACTCTTCAGGTAATCAGAAACAGAAAGGCTCCACTGAACTTAAGCAAGTAGAAAGAGAGCAGGGCATTAAATTATAGAACTTGTCTAATTATGTGTCTGCTGGTCTGCATGTTAATACTTCTTAGTTAGCACAAAGCACCAGATACTAAAAAATTAATTCACCTTTTTAGCACAAGCTATTGGACAACTTTAGTGAATAGCTCTGGCATGACTGAAATGATGCTAATATTATCTGTGATGAATTAGCACACAAGGGAGAGATATGGCACATTTACATTAGAAATGCAATAAAATATTATCTGCTGTAGTAATAATAGCTGAATTCAGCCAGAAATCATGCCAAATTCTACTCTTACTTTCCATGGCCCTTAGAATGAAATAAGTAATTCAAATATAAGTCACCTATTTAATCTCAGAGTAATTGGATTTTTGCTAGAGCTGGAGGTAAGGCATGAATCCAAATAGGAGTTTTTTTCAAATTGTGGGATCAGGTTTATATGGGATTCTGGTCTTCTTTCCCGCTCACCCCAACATCTCTGTTGAATTCATTGGGAGTTGTACTTGTCTGTATGGAGCAATGAATGGTACAATATATTAAAAGACTAGACAATCTAACAGTTGTTTAAACCAATAGTTTTGCTCAACAATGTCCCTATCATCTAAGCTCTACATGGAGAATTTCCACTCCAAAGTCCTGTTCTTGCTACATACATAGCCTACCTATTATGCTCAAGTGGGAGAGCTGTGCATTCAGGGAAAACAGAATATCATACAGGAGAATTTTGCCTCTAATCCATATTATGCTGCAATTACCCATTTTCCACATACAAATGGCCATTAGTGCAAATGCAGGTATACTATTCATAGATGCAATGATTGCTTTTTTGCTGTATTACATACATTCAGAAACCATTTAATATACTGCACTATCTTTGCTCTACATATAGAATTGTCAGTCATTGGAGAAAGGAGCAAACCAGAATCCCAGATATGAAACTCAGGCTTTGTCTACACTTTGTCGACAAAACTTTTGTCGTTCAGGGGTGTTAAAAAAAATACACACCCCAAACCACAAAAGTTTTGCTGACGACAAGTGCGGGTGTGAACAGCACTTTGTCAGCAGGAGCGCTTTCCTGCTGACAAGGCTGCTGCCGCTTCTGGGGGGTGGACATTTTTTGTGAGCAGGAGAGCTCTCTCCTGCGGACAAACAGCAGCTACACTGCACGCCTTTTAGTGGCATGGCTGTAGCAGCACAGCCATGTCACTAAAAGTTGCGTAGTGTAGCCATAGCCTTAGATATCACTTCAAAGACCACTGTGGCTAGTTATACTCAGTTTCAGTCAGACTTTTGTTAAAACCCTCTAAGCAGCTTTGTCTTTAGCCAAGAAATATGAATTAAGGCCACAACCATCTTGAATTGAAATACCAGAGGGAATTTAAATAGGCAAAAAGTAACTACCCAGACTGGAATTTAGAGAAATCTTTGCTCTTAAAAAAATGGTCATGGGCAATCATGGAGCAGCCAGGCTGGAGCAGAATGGCCTGTGCCATGAGCTCAGTGTCAGACTTAAACAGTTAACAGTAAGCAAACTCCAGATTGGCTGTCTGTGCCTTTAAACTAACCAACACACACAAAAGGTGGCTGCCTAGTTGCAGTATTTAAGCAAAGGACCAGACCTCACCTGACCTGGAGTTCTGGGTTAGCACTGACAATCCACTCTCCTGATCCACCTCCCTTGGCTCTACCTTTCACAGGAACCCAGCAAGCCTTCTTACCTGGCCTGCTAGCTGCCTATTGGTCAGTGTCTCCTTCTGACCCCTCTAGGCCTCTGTTTCATTGGTAGCCTGTCCTGAGTGGGTTTTCCTGAGGCAGGAGGGTGTCGGGATGCAGATGCCTCCAGCAGACAGGGGCAGCACTGCAGGGCCAGGCCAGGAG